GAATAAATTTCATTTGGAATTGAAACACAATCAGGAAAATATATACAATTCATGCTACTGTAAGAAAAACTTTGCCATTCTGATGTTGTGCAGTTTTACTTTGCTTAAGCAAAAAGTCTTTGCGCTCTTAAACCCCCAATTCCATGGGTGTAAATATTTTCCTGCACTTTATCAGCTGCTAATAATAGCAAACAAATCTATGATACAGTATGCAATCCAATATCAGTCACGTATCAACAAATACACTTTTAAAATGCATCTCTTTACTGATTAGTAGGCATATTGATTCATGATTTCATCTTCTTCTCAAGGGCAGATAAGCCTTGTAAAAATAATCGAGAAATACATACAATTTTCCAAGCAGTGGGAGTTTTATCGGTATTCTACGCGTTTCATGTTAATTAGAATGCATTACCAACAACATGATCTGCATATAAAGTGGTCGAAGATATGAAGCGAACAAAAATTTAAACCATATCAAGAATTTTCGCCTGAAAGTCAATCACAATTTTTCTTTGCCAGAGTTTTTGTTATCGATGAAAATTGCAACTTTGCAACACTTGATAAGCTCACTGTTTGTTCACTTGAGATAAAGCGTTTTACATCAGTTGAATAATAAATTATTGCCGGTAGAAAACGTATTGTGCCTATCAATGAGCCACGGAAGATTTTCCAGTTTTTAACCGTAATTGCATTTTGGGTTAGTAAATTTGAAGATTTTGGCTCATTTGACCAGGAAGATCGGAATAATGCAAAAGAGCGGCGGAGGCAAAAGTTTCCTGTGAAACTCTTAGTAGCAGATTTTATAAATAGTTTCCAGCCCGGCCAGTCGCAGCGTGAAAAATACATGAAACCACTTGGAAGGAAATTTCACAAGTTCTGGTACTTACATAAAATCCTCAATATCTCCCACTTCGACAAACTGACAAGTGTTATAACATCCATTTGCGTAAAAACTATAACACTGATCGTAATCATAATCGGGCTGTGTTTGACAAGGGAGTCCTATTTTCGCCAGAATCCCATTTGGATGGATTTTATCAGTAGGTTTCTTATTTGAGCAATCAGGAGTTTTGTTAGGAATTTGCCCGAAGCGGCACTGAGAGGGGGGAAGACTTTTACAACTAGAAACCCCATTGCATGGGTGCAATGTCGATTCGGCGGCATTGGCTTGATTATCGAGAAGTTGCCCCAAAAGGATGAACTCTTCGGATGGATAATTATCCTCAATATCGGCGCACATTTGAAGAACAGCAGTTTTAACACACGGATTCTCGACAGTCACTAGGCCTTTTCTGAATGCTCATGTCAAGAATACGAAATGTCTGTGTTATCTTATCATCCGAACACATTTTGTTTTTAAAGTACTTACCATCTGATTTATAAATTATACAGGTCGGCCCACACATCAGTGAAACCTGTTATGCGCAAATGGGGAAAGTTTGGCCCGCAGATCATTTTATCATCGAGCCAAGTCAATTTGGAGTTACCCAGATAAACAGTCTTGGACTGTTACCGAGTGTTCGCCATAAAACACTAGAAGTACTCGATTGGCATTGGAATAAAATGATAACAGCAATCAGGCAACTAGATAAGCAAACGTAGACATGCAAATTTATACAGAGTTTATTCGTAACAATCAACCATTGCTGAGGAAAAATTGATTAAGTTTGCACAGAAGGAAATTATTAACAAATCAAAATCAATATATTCTAGTTACCCTCGCATACATCCAGCCGCAGCAATCTTGTTTACAGAAGCAATCAACTCGATAGAACAAGCAAACATTCATACTAATATTTTAATTGCTTATTATAATATATACCAAGCAAACCATTATACGAATTTTTCTCTTAGCGATCTTAAATCACCCAATTGTGGTATCGTTACTTTCAGTCACGAGAGGCAGAAAGTAACAAACAGTTTATTACTACTTATTCTAATCTTGGCTGAACTGATCGAACGTTCAAAAAAGTAATCGTTATCAAATGGCACTTATTTACAATTAACTCGCATTTGTCTGATCAAATTGATTGCGTGATGTGGAGTAATTCCAAAACAACTGACTGAAGTCTAGCCCAAGCTCGGAACCAATTGACACCGATAGGATAATCAAAATTCCAGCCAAACACGAAAATTAATTAATTATATCAGCTGGGGATGTCGGTGTTTAAAAAGGAAATTGGAAAATTGATTAGTAAACATTTCAGTATGAACACGACTGATGTTTTGGGAGATTTCGATCCCAAAATTTGGCAAAGTTAACGCACATTTGGGCTTGGTAGCGCCATCAGGGCAAATTTTAGGTCACATCTTCAAAACGGCAAATGACCCCAAAAGCCAGTCAATATCTTCTGGTTTGGAATCACATTATGTTCTTTCCTGGGCACCAATGACAATGTGAAATAAAAAAAATGTATATCGTTTATTTCGTTACGTTTCGGCGAGACAACAGCGCCATCATCAGATTTTAAAATTCATTCAAACCCATAAGTGGGAAACATTATATTCATTAGGTCTTGCAGAGCAAAGACCTAAATATTTCTGGGTCTCAGTCAAAGTGTGAAGTAAAAATTTTCATATTACGTTTCGGTGAGACAACAGCGCCATCATCAGATTTAAAATTTACACAAACTCATGATTGGTAAAAATCAACGTTCTTTTAGGTCTTTGCCTTCTTGAAACCTTAAATTTGTCTGTCGAGAGACAAATTTACGGTTTCAAGAAGGCAAAGACCTAAAAGAACGTCGATTTTTACCAATCATGAGTTTGTGTAAATTTTGAAATTACGTTTTGGCGAGACAACAGCGCCATCATCAGATTTAAAATTTACACAAACTCATGATTGGTAAAAATCAACGTTCTTTTAGGTCTTTGCCTTCTT